CTTAGTAAATCAAATTTTCCACATTTTATTAAAAACAACTGAGTTTGTAACTGCCAAAATATGACCATGGCCTACATGGACTTGTGTTAAAATATTAGCTGCCTCATTGTTTGTCTGCCTGTCTTTCTATCTGTCTGTCTGTCTGTCTGTCTGTCTGTCTGTCTGCTTTGGACTTCAGTCAGTCAATCAGTCAGATTTTATTTAGAAAGCGCTTTTCAAACAACGTGCTACTCAAAGTGCTTTACAAAATGACCCCAAATTCCCTTAACAGTTTAAAAACATTAACAGACTTATGCAGACTTATGCAAACACACACACACACACACACACACACACACACACACACACACACACACACACACACACACACACACACACACACACACACACACACACACACACACACACACACACACACACATCAGTAAGAATTTAGATTCGGCTGAGTCCAGATGAGCCAAGTAAGGTAAGGCAAGGAAACGCCATCAGAGTTGCCGTCTGCCCCGGCAGCATCAGGTCTTCCACACTAAGTCAGGGTGCTCAGAGGAGGGGGAGCATAGACCCCCACCTCCATTGAAACACTACCTGTAGAGCACCCAGGAAACTACAGTCGACCACCGCCCCGGGGGCAGAGGGCCCCTACAGAGGAAACACTGGATTAAAATGAGTAAAAATATAATAAAAGAGCTAATATGAGGGACAAAAGTTAGAAAATAATAAATAAAATCATATAGACAGTAAAATAATAATATTAAATAATGAAACAATGCTAAAATATAATCATATAAAACATGCAAAGACTTGGCAAAACTGTATGCATGAGAATTTTTTTAAAAGTAGGAAACAAAAAGAAAAGCTGTTCGGCCTCTCCTAACTCATGGAGAACGTGGCTGATTTGATTTCATGGATGCAGGTGATGCTTTTACCGTGAGGTGTAACCAGACCGCTGGTCTCTTCTCTCAATGGGAATGAAGTGTTGTGGAATAGAAGACTTATTTTAGCTCATTTTGATACTCTTGAACTTAAGGTCTATGCTTCTTTGTCTGATAAACTTCTGAAAGAAATGTTTCTGAAAAGTCTAGTTTGTCTAAATGATTGGGCCTGTATGTGGTAATAGGTGTTTCTGAACACTGCAAAATAGAAAGAGATTCGTTTTTAAAAACTGAATCTTCTCATGCGCCATTAAAATGACCTTAATGAGACTATTAGACAACCTTTACTGCGTGCACATCTAAAACTGGTTATCTTCTAGAGTCAGCCTGTTAGCTAACAGATGTTAAATAAAACAAAAATGAAAAAGAAGGTACACTGAGAAACCATTTTATTAAAATAATCAGTCACTATGAGTTTAACATGCAGGATAAACATCAAAATAGTCTCCTACATCTATCTCCTGCAGTTATAAAATAACTGATGGAACTCTAGGATTTGAACAGCCTGACAGATCTACTACGCCACACTGTCACTTAACATACATGGACTCACCCATCTTGGCTCGAGACGTGGAAGGCTGTTATGTAAGCATCCAGTAAAGAGCAGAATGTGTTTTAGTTAGACCCTAACTGTTAGCATTAGCAACACCACCACACAGCAGAACTCTTTCAGGCTAGTGTTACCTGTGGAAATAAAACATCGACGTTACAAAGCAAAGGAAGATTGCACAATATTGGATTGTATTGCTCATATTGCTTTATGGTCAGTGCTCATCACTCCACTACTTTTCACCATTAGATGGCTGAGGGTGAAATTAATCCTTTAAACTTGTCAAGCCTTTAATTTTGCATGTTTGTGTGAAAGAAACTAGAAAGTTCATGCAGTTTTAGTGGAGTCACAGCAGAAATGTATTCAGGTTTGAACACAAATACAACATATCTGCACAGCTCCATGTGTGTAAAGGTCAGTAAAAAGATGTTATTCTTTTGTAATTTGAGTAAAATGAGCCTTTACATTTGGATTTTATGAGCCAGAAAGGAGACTAGATTACAGACGTCTAAATCATCTCACCTGTCTTTCCTGCATACGTATATCATGCAAGCTTTGGGAACTTTGCACCAAGATGAATCTATCACAGCTGAGTATGCTTGGATAAACATCTTCCATCGCTCATGGTCTCATAATCGACAGTGCTCAGGAACCACTTGACGTGTGAATCATTCATACCACCCATAAATAATAAAACCCTGGCAGCCAGTTAGCAGCACCTGCAACTTGAAACAGTAGTTGGTGAAACACAATCTTTTAGCTCGTGAACTAATGTGTTTCACCTGCCTGGGCCGTCGCTGCCAGTCCGCCTCCAGCCAAAGATAGGCCAAGGGAACAAAACCCTTCTTCCTGCTTCCATCCTACCACCCACCACCTCCTCCTGACCTTGCTTCCTCTTCCGCCAATGGATTTTTCACCAAATCTCTTTGATATGTTCTTGTCCCATGAGAGGCTGGGTAGTGTGAACTGGAAGTGTGAAGCATAATTATTTCCTCCCCGAAAATTGCACTTCTGCCCTAATTAGTTCACTCCTCAAAAGTGGGCCTTGCATTATTTACACATCAAGGGGACACGCAGGGCGGGAGATAAATATTCATTGTTTGTTGACTTTGCCCCGGTCCCTCGGCTCGGGTGCAAGTTGAGTAGAGAGCCGCTGTCATTGTGACTTGTTTATGAATAATCTGTCTTGTTCCCCTGTAATTATCTCTGCTCAGGCTGATGGGCCGACACCGACTCGTAGCGGGTTTAATAAGTAGACAACATCGTCCTTTGTGCTCAGACAGATCAGATGAATTGAATAAAGTGATCTGTTGTATTTGTGACTTTGCACTAACTTGACCTTTTGGCATCAACCACAAACAGCAGAAGCAGGTTTTATCCACAGAGACTGTGACACCATTTCTGCTGTCGTCACTCACAAACTTCCTGATCCTGGGTTGTTTTTTAATGAGATGAGGAGCAGGCAGCAGATGCTATTCAGAGAGTCCTGCTTCTGTTGGATGCAGACTCGTTTGGTGGAATATATGAAGACCTTTTTTCCTGTCTGCATGAATAGACTGCTGCGTCCGTCCCTCCACCTCAGTGTTCCTAAGGCCTTGAGGCCCCATTGTCTGCCCCATCAGTGCCCAACGGGAAGTGGCTGTTGCGTCACAATGATGCACCTTTTGTAGATTTCTGACAGCTGATTCAATCCCATTTGTTATTTTATTGTGTGTGCCACAGGAGGTTGTGAAGCAGAGGTGCAGGCATCACACAAGAATTACCATAATCACTGTCAACATTAATGGAGATCCCATCACTGGAGAATTTAAACAAGGCTTTTCCATATTTATGGAAGCAATAAACAGAGAATGTGCTGCAAAATGTCTGTTATGATTCAAAAGTGAGCCATGTTTACTGGCTTTGAAATGGATATTTGGGTTAGTGGATGAGGAGGAGGAGGAGGGGTTGGGAGTTTAGGTTGTGGGGTATTACTGGAAATATAATATTGCCACACTAGACTTGGAACTGAGACCATAAATGTCTCACTCTCACTGTCTCCAGGGTTTCTACTTTCCCTGAGCCAACTGGATAGGCCACTGCTTTCTTAGCTATAGGTGGTTGGAAGCACCATTGTGAACTTACTTCATGATTGTTTGCTAACAAACATCATGTATTTATTGTGTTTTTGTCAGTTTTCCACAGAGAAATTTTAAAATGATTCCTCCACAGACCTGCTTTTTCTCTCAGCATGACCCACTCAAATCCTTTACCGTAAAACTGGAAGCATGCTATTGCTCAGAATATTACTGCATGACAAGGCGTAACATTTTTCATTGTTTAAACCCTTAAAGTGTAACCATGACAAAGCAAAAGGCCAACAACAAAAACTCCAGTGGTGGGCAGGGGGGCTACAAATGTGGTCACAAGGTCTTTGGAAATTCTCTTGTCTAAAGTGACGATACATTACACTTTGACAGTTATTTTTATGTTAGTCACATATTTTGTAATAATTTTGTAAAATTTGTTTTATACTTTGCGGTATTTTTTGTTTTTGTGAAGCGCCTCATGATTTTTATCTGTAGAGGCGCTTTATAAAAGATCGTTTTTTGTCTCTTAAATCTTGGCGTAAGTCAGCCCACTTCTGCATCAGTAATAAATGTAAATTATCAGAGCGTGTCACTCATTATGCAAAGTGACGGTTATGCATACGGGGGTCTGCGGTCTACTGTAATGTGTGTTTATTTTGGTTTCTGAGACTTGAAAGTGAAACTCCCTGAGCTGCAGTTAGTTTGTTCTACTGTTACACTCACTGCATGTCTCTACAGAGAAAAAATAGTCAAGTTAATTTCTAAATGAGCTCTAGTGACAGACAGGTATATAGACGAAAAGGACTGCTGTTATCTCGGCCTATGTTAATGTACGGCAGTTTTACCTGTACAAAACAATACTACAAAAATTAGCAAAACCGTACCTATTTTTTTGTCCATGTAAATGATTTGCTGTCTAGAATGGTTAATCTAAAATAGAACTATTACATTCATCAGGTTAGTTTCTTTTTAGTTATTACTCAGCATCAATAATAAAACGTGGTGGGAAAGGTTTTTAAAAGCCATTTTTATGTCCTAATCTTTCTTCCTTTGTGCCTTAATTGCTTGTTTTGCACTTTTTAACTATATGTGTCATACAGCGCTTTGTGACTCAGTCTGTGAAAGGTGCACATAAATTACCCTTACCTTTACATGTTAGCATGGTAGACTAAGCCAGACTGAGTAAAACTAATACATCAGTGCTGCATCTTTGGCTTTCTCTAGTTGTATACAACTATTTTTCTCCTTTCTGCTTCATGATGTCACAGTTTTCCGTGTCTAGCCTTTCGAAAGTCGAGGTAATACGTTTTGCACGTGCAGCTTCTGCATCTTCTGAAATCCAAGATGACAGAAAGGCTTTTTTCTTCCTTTTGAACTCAACAGCTGTAGCAGGTAGACTTTATTAGCAGATCTTTAATGGAAACTCTGGTGTTTATTCTTCTTCTGCAGGTGGAGATCACGCTGCAGGACGTCAACGACAACCCACCAGTTTTTCCTAATGATATTCTTGATGTGACCATTGAGGAGAATGTCGGAGATGGCTTCAAGATAATGCAACTAACAGCCACAGATGCAGATCAGGTAAGCCTTCCAAACCTTCTGTTCGGTCTGTTTTAGTGCTTTTCTGTGCCCATTTTCCACTCAGCTGCTTTTAGAGCAAATATCTTTGAGGTAAATTATGACTTAAATTGTTCTTACTGAAAGCTAAAGTTGAAAAAAAGGTCTGTTTTTAACTAGAGTAAAATCACAATTTTACTTTTTTGTTTTTTTCATAGTAAAATAAACTATAAGGGTAGGAAAAAAGGAAATAATAATGAGTAGATGCCAGGGAACTGCATATGCCTGAATGTTCACAAAGGAATGCCTTTATCACTCTTCTGATGAGGGAGGCGGGTAATGTGGATGCAATTTTTCAAAAATAAAAGTAACAATTACAAGTTTCCAATCTTTTTAGAAAAACAATTGTTAATCTCAAAGTTTCTCCTTTAGTTATTGTCTACATAAAGGTGAAAAAAAATTGCAAAAGTCCATTTATTTTAGATATTCAACCTAGACTGAGAGACCATCTAAAGGCTCAGGAGCCTTTTGCAGGTGTTCTGGATTCATTAGCTGATTAGAGTGTGACACTGAGTCTAGAATATTGAACCTTTTCACAATATTCTAATTGTCTGAGATTTTAAATGTGGGGTTTTCATCAGCTGTAAGCCATAATCATCACAATTATAACAAATAAAGCGTGAAATATCTAGCTTTGCATGTAATGAGTCTGTCTCATGTATTAGTTTTACCTTTTAAGTGAAATTACTGACATAAATGAACATTTTTAGCTGCTTTAGCCAGGATCTGGACATTAAATCCAGCAGTGAGTGAAATGCGGAGTCTTGTTGGCATCTCAAAGTTCTGTGGTCCTTCAGCCGTGGGACGCTGTTGAAGAGAACGGAAAGAGTCCAGCTAAAGAGAGGAGAGAGATTAGAACGAAGGCATATCGACTTAGATTTAAAGTTAATGTATGAGGCCACGCATTTTTGTATTGCACAGCTGTTGCTTCCCTTTGCTCTGAAAGCCAAAAAAAGATCTACTTATTGATATTTTTTACTTCTCGTTTTGACTGAGTAGTTAGGGACATAGCAATGTTGTCTCTCTCTCTCTCTCTCTCTCTCTCTGTTATACGCACACACACACACGCATGCACACACATACGCACACACACACGCACGCACACACACACACACACACACACACACACACACACACACACACACACACACACACACACACACACAAACAAAAGTAGAAGAAAATTGTAAACAAATGAGCCTTCATTGGAATAATCATTAACAATTGATTCAGAGGTAACTTATATTTCACTCAGCAATTTTAATTCTAGCAAAACAAAAGACATAAAGACATAGCTGCCTTTTTAGGAACTGCAGATTCGGACGATGTTTACTCCAAACTTTACTTTTTCTATGAATAGATTGCTAAACAAAAGCCTGTATTTTAGTCCAGCTCTCTTTGGAGCCAGATATGAGACCGGCCAAGCTTTTGCCCACATCCTTACTCAGGAAACTTGAGTTACTCTGACTCTCAGAGAACAGAGCGTATTGGAGTCCTCGTTGAGAAAGCCACATGTGTGAGCCAGTGCAGAATGCACAACAGTGGCCGGGCAGCTGATGGGCGGAATTCAGGCACCAGAATGTTCCCATCAAATTCAACGGTACAATAACTTCTAGCTGAAATGACAGAAGAGACTGCAGTTTGTTTTAGAAGAGAATCTGATAAAAAATACTTTCATAAAGACATTTAGTCTCTTGAAATGTGTGCCATTCCAGGAGAAATTAATATGCTGTCTTTTGTGTGGTGAAGGGTTTTGATGGGGTTCAAGCAGGGAAAAATGCCACAGGAAGAAGAAGATTAAAACAGCGATCAGGGCAGGAGAGTTTTAAATCCAACCGTAGTGATGTGCAGGAACACATGCTACAGGGATAGCTGAGATACACACCTTCATTGCTACACCTTAGGTCTTCAGCAGCTGTCAGAGGCTTCACCGTTGAGCTGTTGTAGCTGCTTTTCCAGGAGTTTGTGTTATTATTGGATCTGTGCTCTTACACACAGGAAGCTCACCATCACTGCTTAGCACCGTTCACTTCTCACAGGAGGCACAGGCTCTAAAAACAACCACTCATCTGCTAAATGGGTTTCCATCTGCTCCTCAAAACTACTTAATTGGTCATCCGGCGTCCCTTCACCCATGCTAACAACCCTCAGAGAGCTGTAAAGTAGCCAGACTCTTTAGGGTCGAGAGGTGGAGCAGCATCATCGTGTTTGTGTACATGTTAATGATGGCGCTGTGATGTGAGGGACTTCGGCCTACATGGACCTCCTGCTCAGTGTCTCCCACCTCCTCTGCTCTGCCTTTGAATCATATCAGAAATATTAATTGGCAAACCATGGGTGTTGGGTTCCGGACCGCAGTGCAGGTGGCTAATGGGATCGCCAGAACCGGAGCAACTGATTGATGACAGTGGGGTCCTTGATGGGCAGATTTTTGCTCCTTTCTCCTTCCTTTTTTTTACTGGGTTTTATCCCAGACAGAGTCTCTGGTAATGCAGTGAAACAAGGCCAGAAAGAGAGAGGTTAAAAAAAAAAGACTCATAAAATGAAAAAGGGATAAGCAAAAATCCTGAACCTGGCCTGACAATACTGACTCTGTCTAAAGCTTTTGGCTTACGTGTGCACGCTTGAACTGGTTGTGCTTTTGCTGAAGTCTATAAAAAGACAGACTTCAGAATGTTTTATTTGTTTTGGTGAAAGAGAGAACTTTATCTTTTTGTCAAATCAAGCCAAACCATTATAACATTAACTAAGAGAAACGCTGAGATGTCCTCTCCACATGCACGTAAAATGTTTTACAGTTCTGTTCCTCAGTCCTCCAGCAGCGGGATGCCAGTGCTGTGCGTGACTTTTACAGACTGCTGCTAGGAAGCTCCAGAAGCTGCACAGATTTCAGCCTGTATTATAGATCAGGTTTGAGGTTTTGAGTTTTTAGGAAATTTATCTCCTGTCAAAAATTATAGGGAAGCAAAAGCAAGCACTGGAATACCGGAATATTTTGGAATGATTCGTTTCAATTTAGTTTCATTTGTTTTTTTACTTTTATTGATCTAAGCTGCAACAGTCATAAGGGCCAAAAATGTCAGATACAGCAGAAAGCAACCAAGCACATTCCTATAGAAAGCAACATTTTTTACACTTTTAACCAAGCAGATGTATGGCTTAGTTCTAAATACACATAGATGCATAAAGGCTCTATAAACAGATTTTTAAATACATAATCAGTGAGAAGTTTTGTCCTTTAAGTAAGTAAATGTCGATCTGAGTCAGCTAAAAGCAACACCTCTCTCACTATGAGCCTAGTCATTGTTCTGCTGGGATCAAACAGCATCACACAGACTCCATCCGAAGCTGCAAGAGTCTCTTTTTTAGCTTAACTGTAACTGGAGCCTTCGCTTCAATCGTCTCACTGAGTAGCAGACGCTTTTTGAAGTTGCTTTAGCTTTTTGGCTGAAGACACAAAGAGAGACAATTTATCTGATCTCTCATTGTTCCAACACAAATATAAACGTCAGACTCTGTCATCAGGCTCATTCACGTGTCATATCACATTCGGTCTTCTTCTCTTGTTCCAAAGCCTCTCAGCAAAGCCACCGCATGTGTCACAGAGCTTGTTCTGGTCCAAGGTTACAGACACAGATGGTCTATCGGGTCACTTTGTGGAGGGAAACCTTTCAAAGGATATTGGAACATTTTAGTGTGTTTGTGTGCAACAGTTGGGATAGTAAGTATCTTACCTGCTCTGGAAAGCTTCCTAAACAGCCTGTGTTTGAGAAGTACACATGTATGACTGAAATATCCCTTTAAATGCTAAAAAGCATTTGTAGAATAGCAACAATCAACTTTTATTTTATTTTGCTAGTGACATTTTTTTCTTTAATAACCAAAATGTTCTGAATAAACATGTTTTTTTAGGTTTAAAGTTCTGTTTTTATCACAAAGTATTCAACTCTTAGAAATTATATATTTTTAAAAGATCAGCTTCAATAAAAACACATTTTTTTAATGATTATTTCTGATTATAATCGGCCCTTCTGAGGTATTCATGCGGGCTGAACACAAAAATTGTCTCACATCTATCTCCTGCATTAGCTTCTGATAGAAAATAGACGTGAAACTCTAGGATTTGAAAAGCGCGACAGATCTACGTCACACTGTCACTTACCTTCATAGACTCGCCCATCTTGTCTCACGACGGGGAAGGCTGTTGTTGTTTTAGCGTCCAGGAAACAGCAGAGCATGTTAATTAGATGCTAACTGTTAGCAACTCCACCACACAGCGGAAATCCTTCAGGTTTGTGTTATTTGTGGAGATAAAACATCAATACTGCAGAGCAAACAGACTCACTTCTGTAAACATCATTGGAACATTCTTGAAAAAAAAAAAGAACCAAAAATGGAATTAGACTCACTTCTACTTTCTGAAACGGGTGCACCAGAGCTTCTTTCCCACAGAGATTGACTTACAAGGCATTCATTTATACTAGAGACCACTGCAAATGCTTTGAAAAACTGTGTAATTGTTCCTTATTAAACAACCAGCATTGCAGAGCAAACAAAGTCAGTGGTAGAGTTGTGTTGCTGTTTGCCAATCAGAGGTGAGATGTCTGAATATGAGGAAATAAGACTCCAAATCCTGTCGTCTGAAGCTATTTTCTCCTCCAGCTGACTTTTACATCCTCAAACAGGCACACCAGCGGGGTTTCTTTCCCTTAGAGAACGTCTTACAAGGGTTTGGAAATTCATTCCTACTAATGACCACTGCAAATATGTAAAAACAAGACTAAAGTTGAACTTTAGGACAGCTCTTTATCCCAAAAGTCATGTTTTCTTTGTCATTATTTTTTGTATTTTTTTTTCTATAATTTTTTTTAAGAAAACTATTATTTTTAAATGGTTTAATTATTTCACAGTAATTTGTAATTTTTTTTTGTTTGTGAATAAGTGATTTTTATTGCCTAAGGTACATAAATAATTCACTGGGACCTCAGTAGTCTCTTGTTAACTTTCTAACACCATGGCTGAATATTTATTCTAATTATCAACCAGGGATAATCCCCTCTACCCTTCCCTTTATTTTGACTTAATCACCCTCATTACTAATTTCACAATATATTCCAAATGTAATACTTCCTGTTTGTGGGCCGTCTCAATGAAAAATCTGGTTTCTCTCCAGCTTTATGTGTAAAGCTACTGGAACTGGACCTGATCATTGCACCAGACAACAAGAGTGGGTCACAACATGTATTTATTAAAAGATAACAGTAGAGGCACAGAGGACGATAAAGAAGGAGCCTTGGCCAGATCAGGGTTTGGATTTATGATCCAGAAATACCCCTGGAACGCTGGTCAGCAGCTCACCAATCTAATGCTTTTGCTGCTTAGATGGAGGCAGGCACAGGTGACAGGAATCTGATGATTGTATGAAGGTGATTAATGTGTGAGGCAAAGTTTATTTAGGTGCATTAAACACCGTGCATTGGTTTCCATCTTTCACCTCAGGGTCCAAATGCTCTTGTGACGTACACCATCATCAGCGGGGCAGACGACAGTTTTCGGATTGACCCTGAATCCGGTGACCTGATTGCCACCAAGAAGCTGGACAGGGAACGCAGATCCAAATATTCCCTTCTGGTGAGAGCAGATGATGGAAAACAGTCGTCCGACATGAGGCTGAACATCACTGTCAAAGACGTCAACGACCACACGCCCAAGTTCTCCCGAGCAACATATTCATTCGATATCCCTGAAGACATGGCACCAGGTGAGGTCACTTAATGGAGCGTACAGTTACAAGCTAAACACTCAGGAATGGATGGAACAGTCAGTGTTTTGTCTCATGGAAAAGCTTTCAGACCAATCTTGCACAACTCCCTGGGAGGACTTCTAGATATTCTTTTTTTCTTTTAAACATGTTTATGTGAGTGCTGTGGTTCCTCAAATCTTTATATTTTCCCTCAGGCGTAAAATGAAGAGTTTAGTAGGTCAAAGGAGCAACAACTGATATTTGATTTATGTGGAAATCCATCACCAGTCTTTGTGATTTACAGGGATTCTGGCAGCTGTCTGGAAGGCCTCACTCATCCTCTCAGCATTGTAAACATGTAGTAGTTCAGTGAGGTTGCAGTCAAAATACAATCATGTTAAATCCTAATAAAATGCTTAATAATGAGATGATTTTTCCATATGTTTTGACACTAATCGTTTTTTTTTTACTGTGGAACAAAGCAGTCCAAGTCAGACTGTTGTTATTTTAGCACCTGGCTGAACAAGCAATGACTCATCAGCTTTAAAAGCTCCCCTGCAGCTCTCTTGTTTTTAAAACGTATTAAACTACTCATTTGTGCATCCTCATCCTTTAGGCTCCATCGTGGCGGCAATCCTGGCTAGCGACTTGGACTCAGGGGTGAACGGAGAGGTCACCTACTCGCTAGAGGAGGATGATGAAGACGGGACCTTCCTCCTCAACCCTGTAACCGGAGTTTTCAACGTGACACGCTCATTGGACTATGAGACTCAGCAGTACTATATTCTAACGGCGAAGGCTCGGGACGGCGGTGGGCAGGCCAGCACAGTCCGAGTGTACTTCAACGTGTTGGACGTGAACGACAACCCGCCCATCTTTGACACCACCATCTACAGCACGTCTGTGTCAGAGAGTCTACCGCCCGGATCCAGTATCATCACTGTTGTGGCCAGTGATGCTGATGATGGTGTGTATGAAAGGTTGCGGGAGCCTTCGCACAAAATACCAACACAAGTATTAGTTTGCTTAAAAAGGTCAACAGTGTTGATATACTTTTACATTCAGGTAAAATAAAACCAGGATCCCACTGGGCTGCAGCTTTTCAGCAAATTGTTGGAAATATGGAGGATATCTGACATCTTACACAGGCCAATGAGGCACTAACATCCATCCATCCATTGTCTGAACCCGCTTGTCCATGTAGGGTCGCAGGGGTGTTGGTGCCTATCTCCAGTGGTCAATGGGCAATCAGGCGGGGTACACCCTGGACAGAGAGCCAGTCCATCACAGGGCAACACAGAGACACACAGGACAAACAACCATGCACACACACACACACACACACACACACACACACACACTCACCCATGGACAATTTAGACAGACCAATCAATCTAACAGTCATGTTTTTGGACTGTGGGAGGAAGCCGGAGTAAAGGCAGTAATATTTACCAGTTAAATACATATTTTGTGGTTTAGTTCCACCTTTTCCCGCCAGTGTTGCCGTGGTGTCCTTAATGATACAGATTTCATATTAAAAGGATTTTATAACTCAGAGCTGCAGCCACCATGACTACATTTGGAGATATTTATCATCTGTGTGAGATGAATGTGCTGGGACCAGATCTTTACACTGTTTTTACACTCGGGCTACAGAATTAAATGATAGATCTGAAACGTGTCACTTTATTTAAAGACAACAGCTCAGTGTTTGTGTTTAAAGCAGTAATATGCTCTTTGGGTTCATAAATCACGTGTGAGTTTGCCAAAGAAGATTAATGTAACGCGGGCCTGTCACTTTGTTATGACGGCTGGTTTCACAGAAGCTCTCAAGCCTGCGTTTTATTCCTTGTATTTATTTAAAACACTTGATGAAAGGCAGCATCTTGTCTTTGTGATCAAGTGATTCAGCTTATTTCTGCCTTTCAGGTGGTGGGATTTGTGATTTTAAAGTGGCGTGTGGTATTTGCTACTTTCTCCAGCTGTAATCACGCTTCACCCAGGCTTAATGTGGTTATCGTGACCCACATTCCTGGGAAACACGCTGCCTCGTTCTAAACGCTGCTCCACAGACGCTGATCCTTTCAGATACAAAGTGCCTGTTTTCTTTTGTCACAGTACCAACACAAAAACTGTTAGGACTTCCTGTGATCTGACCCTTGACCTTCAGACTGTGTCAGATGGGTACAGCTCTCTGGCTCTAGACAAGACATTAATCACATACAGTGAAAACACGAAGTTGTATGGGAAAGTGAGTTGCTGTACCAGTGCTTGATTATGCTTATTTTGACCTTCAGTTCCAAGGATCTCCGGCAGATTAGATCCGATTTAACCGGTAACTCAGTCACTGTCCGTTTTTATAATGATATTTAAATAAATGTTGTGATCTTGAGGGGTTTTCCAAAACTTCACAAAGGCAATATCAGTTAAGGAAGTGGCTTGGACTGGTGTTTCTCTTTAATAGTAATTTGTCATGCTGCATACATTTATTGTTCTCTCAGTAAGGATAAAGACGTGTACAATTTGTGGAAACAGATGTTGATAGTTCATCTACGTGCCCAGCAGAAGGAAACACAGAAAAGGTAACGATGAACAATAGAAATGTTTGTGCTTGACCTCTATGATACTGTTTTTTTTGGATATCTACTCTTTTTGTTTGTTTTCAAAGCTCAAGGTCCCATTAAACAGTGAGATGGGAATCTGGTGTACATTTAAAATGAATCTTTTGTCTGCTTTATTATTTTCAGATTGTTTCAAGGCCAGTCTCTGTTCTATCTTTTGTTTTTTTTTCTAGATTTCCCCTCATCTCAGTGGTGTTTCTGTTTGCTTGTTGTCCAGGTCCAAATGCCCAGCTCCTTTACTCAATAGCATCTGGTGATCCTCACGGCCACTTTGTCATCACAAAGGAAGGGGTTCTAAAAACAAAGAAGACACTGGACCGAGAAACCCAGTCTTTCTACAACCTTGTGGTCACAGTGAATGACCTGACGCCGCCTCTCATCACCCGCCTTACCAGCACTGCTCAGGTGTCAATCATCCTACTGGATGTCAACGACTGCCCTCCAATCTTCACGTCCCAGAAGATGACCTACATCCAGGAGAACACCCCAGTGGACACAGTGATCTTCACCGCCCAGGCCACAGACGCTGATAGTGGACCCAACAGCTATGTTGAGTACTCCCTCAGAGGGCCCTTTGGTAATAAGTTCAGCATCAGCACTATAGATGGAGATGTCAGGCTGGTCGGGGAACTTGACCGCGAAGAACTTTCCAACTACACGCTCACAGTTGTAGCCACAGATAAAGGTGAGCCACCTCTGTCCTCAACTATGGACATCACCATGATGGTGCTGGACGTTAACGACAACACGCCGAGTTTCTCACAGAACATCTACGACATTGAAATTGAGGAGAACATCTTAACTGGCTCTGACATCATCCAGGTGTTTGCTAGCGACGCGGATGATGGCACCAATGGGCAGATCCGGTTCTCTGTCGCTGGGGGCAACACCAACAATGATTTCAGGATCGATTCAGTCACAGGAGTGATCTCTGTCGCCAAAAAGCTTGACCGTGAGACACAGTCAACCTATTCACTGGTGGTCCAAGCAACAGACCGAGGTAGCAGCCCCAGATTGGACCGTTCAACTGTCAACATTGTTTTATCAGACGTCAACGACTGCTCACCAGTGTTTGAGCTCTCTCCCTACATTATCAACGTTAAAGAAAATCTGGAGAACCTCCCCAGAAACATTCTGCAGGTCAGTGCTTGTTTTTTTAGACCATTTTTCAGTCAGTGCTTTGAATGGCAGTTCAAAGGCCTTCAACGAGCTAATTCCTTAACTAAATCTGTAGTAGTACTAACTCAATAAGAGCAGGTATGTAAGAGCACTGTAACTCTGAACACGGTGGTCTCATTTTGCTAAATGACAAATACTTGACTGCAATGATAAAGAAATGAAAAATGACTGCAATTTGCTCTGCTCAATTTAGACTTTAAAGGATTTCACCGAAATATGAAACTCTGCTCAATAGCACTACAAAGTAATTAGCATTACAGCCGCCCGGATGACTAAATGAGCCATATATAAAGAATGGAGAGGAAAAGCTTATTTTCAGTAGCAGAGCAGTTCCACTTTCATTCACTTGTGTACCTTTGGAGAAAATGAGGGCACAGTTATGTGGGAAAGGATCCAGATGTTGTGAGGCTCAAATCTCTGAGCTAACCTGTGTGACTCTAGCAGACATGGCAGGAAGAGCTGAAAGTTCTGAGCAAGATGCTGACTTCTCAAATGTTTTAGACCAAGAAATCACAAATAAATAATCCTGTCAGCAATCACACACTCGTTGACTTTGTGGTTTTTATTTGATGTGGATTCTCTGGTAAAGTTTGATTAAAAATATATTCCTTCCCTCAAGAAAAACTTCCCTGGTGCCACATTGTATCGCCGTCATCAGATTCGCTAGAACGATTTAACAAAGATGCATCCTCAGCAGATTATTGTAGCTGTTGAAATTCATAAAAAGGTAACCAGAATGCCACTTTTACTATACTTTTTGTCTTGTGAGTGTAGCAGAGAGAACATTTCTTTAAAATATCACCAGCTTCATTCAAAATCGTAGTTTTATAAATTAGCATTGCTGTAACAGCACCAGGAGACCCCTGGCCAAATGAATCAGCTTCTTCAGACAAAAACAACATTTAAGTATGTCTGAGCTGTTTTGAGCACTTTTCTGTAATTAAAATATCCAAATATCTTACTGCAAATAAAAAAGAAAGTTAATTTCTATTGATTTCTTTAAAGTTGTCTGTTTTATTTTTTTTTTTATTTATTTTTTTTTTTTGTTTTTTTGTGTGTGTTAGTCTGGAGCAGAAAAGTTTGGAAGCATTTTAAACACTTTTAAGGCTTTAACCCAGTATTATTAATTATAATGATAACTAATATTGCTGATACATTTGTATATAAACACATCTTCAGTCATGTCAGTTGTGACATAGGTGACAGGTAACGTGTGTCAAACAAAACCTCCAAATAATCAAGCCAAAAGTACATTTCTTCCTTAGAATTTTTTTTAATTAAAAATCCTATTCTGGTCTTTCTCACTGTAACTCAGTTTTCCTGTTTATTTCCAACAAACATTCATTCGTCGCAGTCTGATTTTTGTTTGTTTTGTCCCAGGTCGTTGCCCGAGACGACGACCAAGGTGCGAACGGACAGCTAAGCTACATGCTCAGTGGTGGGAACGACGAGGGAGCATTCACTCTGTCATCCAGCGGCCAGCTGAGTCTGACTCAGACGTTGGACCGAGAGGCTCAGGGGAAATACATCCTGCTGATCACAGCCACTGACTCAGGTATGGTCCAGCTGATCTTACTGCAGTATATTGTATAGTATATGCTGAGGTCTGAGCACTACACGAAACTCCATGTCACAATATTCATTTTTGTAATCAGCCTCTGTTGACCCTGGGGAAAAAAACTAACAGCAATGTCAACAAACAGCATTTATATTTCAGCACACTGTTCTTTTTGTGTGCTGCAATAACATAAACATTCTGGAGTTTTTAGCTTGCAAAATAGGGAGTGTCTTTTTTAACTGCTTGTTCTTTTACTCCACAGAAGTCTGTTCAGCAAACTGAATTGAATAGCATCCTGTGTTTATTTGGATATGGCGGTAGAGCTTGTTATAGCCAGATAAAAGGTTAACTTGTTATTGCATCCAGGCCAGTTAATGTGCAGTTGAAGGAGAATGTGCATATCCCTATTTCAGCCAAATCACATGGTTTTCCAGTTAAGTATACGTTCCCCTGAGCTGCTCTGGCAGAGCTGTCATGGTCTGAGGGTGGTTCTGTTTCATTCCTAGACTGACCATGTGACCGTGCATAACATTGTATATTTTTGACTGTGTGCAGACTTTGGTGAGATTTGGCATTAAGTTGCATGCAGAGATACTTCAATTTGCACAAAACGATTGTGCGTTGCATTTATGTCAAGGTTTTAGTTTAGACAGTCAACACATTTTCAATTAAGAAGACTTGGATAACAGTTTTTCTAATAATCAAGTGAGACAGTTTAAAATTTGCTGATGAGGTTTTTGTTGCCGTGTGTTGTTTAGAGATCAATGCCACATGGGCCAAGTTTCCCAACAAACGAACATACTAATTAGGATGCGATCGCTTTTTGTTCACTTCACAGGGAGTCCTTATTTGGAGTCTTGACAACAAGTCCAAAATATTTTGACAGGACGTTTCAGTGCAATGTTGAGGCAGAGAGAAGGATTTGGGGTAGAATATCAAAATCAAAAACCCCATAATCATTGTACAGGCCAAATTACCCAGCAGCATTTTCTCACATTTTTGAGGCCTGGGTTGAGACGGTGAGGGGAAATGGCTCTCGCAGGCACAATCTAGCAGCTAAATGTCGAAGGTGGACAAAGCAGACGTGTCTCCAAGTGGGCCGTCTACCGTGACTCATTTTAAACCGCAGACGTTCGTGTTAACATTGTCCAAGTTCGATCCCAAAACACCATAAAGCAAAAGCATTTGCTGGGGAGAGTCGTTTGATTCTCAAAGTCGTCCACTATCAGACAAAGGACCTCAGCTGTCGGTCAGAAATATGTCGAGCTGTCATGTTTGGTGTTGTGTTAAAGCCAGGGCCGAGTCTGGCTTCAACCACTTCTACCACTTCATGAGAAAAAGAGATAAATGACCGTTTGTTCAGACAGACGAGCTACAACTTAGATTATCTTTCTGTGGGCAGGGCTCTGACCCACGGCATTGTGCTCTCTTGAGATTTTTTCTAAGAAAGTTGCATTTTTAGTGTTTTTTGGCTACATCTCTTAGCTTGGATATACCATAAGAGCAATGTGACCCTTTTGCATAAAAGTTACACGTTTCACATTGCATGATAAAATTTTATCGTTGGCCCTATTGAGATGCGTTTTAATTAAATATGAGTTGTTTTTGTCAGCCTGAATTTATACTCGGTTATAACTCTATTTTACCATGTGCTGACTCTCAGTGGTGTTGGTAGTAATTTATTTATCCAGCTGAAGCAAATTTCATGTTTTATATTTTACTTTTATTGATTATTTTCTGCAAAAATATTTTGTCTCTAAACATCTTTGAATTAGGTCATTTCCAAGCAGCATTTTAGTTTATTTACTCTGCTCACCTCACATTGACTCACACTGGCAACATAAAAACGAGCTAAAAACCATATTAGTTCTTATGTTGTATGTATACTTTACCAATAAAAGGTTGAAATGGTAAAACTGGCAAGTATAGCTAAAACCCTAACCAGAAGAAGCCAGAAGATTGAGCGACGTATAGATTTTACATCGGCCTTTTTTTATGAATTTTAAAATTAAATTCAAAATTTGCAGCTGAAACAGGAAAATGCATGAATGCACTAAAAATGGGTTTAGGGGTATTTTACACAAGGAAACAACACATGCTACAAAGCTCCCAAAAGTGGACTTTCCATGAAATGGCCCCTTTAAATGGCCCTTTTTGATGAACGAAGAACTACGATTTCACCTCATAACATTAATCCAATCTGAATCAAATCAAGTTTTAACTTAATGAATAAATCAGCCTTGCTCTAAATCATTATGGGTTGTCAAAAATGTTAAATGGGGCGGGGGGGGGGGGGGGGGGGGGGGGGGGGGGGGTGCAACTGTTTACAGTTGGGTTTTCCAAAAGAAGTCTAACAAATGGATGACTAATCAAGCAGCGATTTACATTTCTCAAGATGTCTGGGACACTTAACGAATTGCTCTGCGCTCCTGTTGGCTCACGTGAGTTTAAATCCTTCCAGGGAAACCTCAAGAGTCTGCTATGAGCTTGTTCATCTACATCTCAGTAAACAAATCTCAGTAAACAAACTTCAGGTTGTCCGTAGTCCTACAGCAACCGGGTCAGTGCTGGGAGCTCGTCCTGTTAAAACAGGAAGTTAGCATTTTCTCGTGCCCAGGGCCTATTGACGTTTTTTTTTATTCCCCTGCCACTTAGGTCTTTACTTAAAAATAAAGCGTAATTCCAATCACGACAGTAGAGGGCACCATTGAGCACGCCAGTGTGTAGCCTGCTGCTAATTCATTAGTTAGTTAATTACTTTTGTCCAAAAAATTAAGCTGAAGCTGACCTTTCTCTGTAAGATTTTGATTTCATGGAATTTACAACAATAATGATAATGTTTATTAATGAATTAGTCTTGAAACGTTCACATGAGTTACTAATATATATTAATATATTTCATTTTGAAATATTGAAATGTATAAATTTGAATAGTGAAGGGAAACTATCAGATAGGCACTCAAAATGGATCGGATTTTAAGTTAAAAGATTCAATCGGAATCGGAAGCCTAAAATGCTGATCAGGAGGGCATCCCTAATTTCAACATGTTTAAACTAAAAGAAAGAACCAAAGAATAACTTTTAAATTCAAGAGTAAATCAACAATCTGTGGATTAGACTGTTTTTGTTTCAATAGTGCTGCTGTAACATCTTTAAAATGCTGTTTTGGTGTTTTGTAGTATCAAACTCACAATTTATTTGAACGCTACTCTGGATAATGATGACCTAAAGGAAGGCCCAGGACACGTTGGAGGGACTATGTCTCTCACCTGTCCATGGAACACCTTAGGATTCCCCCGGAGGAGCTGGTCCAAGTGGCTGGGGACAGGGAAGTCTGGGCCTCTCGACTTAGGCTACTGACCCCACGACTTGACTCCAGATAAGTGGCCAAAAATAGATGGATGGATGGTATCAATGCAAGCTGCAAAGCAGATGCTTTACAAGATATGGTGCAGGGAAATATTTTTACACAGAAGATTTTTCTTGTTAGCTTAACCATCCTCTCCTCAAGATCACAAGGAGCTGGTGCCTATCTCCAGCAGCCAATGGACGAGGGGTGGGGGACACCCTGGACAGGTCTCCAGTCCATCACAGAGCCACATGATCCAGTCACACACTCACTCAAACATATAGGGACAATTTAGTGGTGCCAAATCACAGAAAATGCAGGTTTTTGGACTGTGGAAGAAATCCAGAAAGGCTGTTGCTGGGATTTTAACCTGTAACCTTTGTGTGAGGCAACAGTACCACCATGCAGCCCCACAAAAGATGTTCTTTTTTCCCCCAATTAACTACTCAATAATTCTTTAAATCTTTTTTTTTCTGCAGCAGTGATTTAACAGCTTTTGTAGATAAATAGAGATACTTGGGAGGTTTACATTGTCCCTGGCTGCTCTTGCTGCTCCGCCAACATCTGGGATCAGCTGCAGGCAAATCTGATTGTTAAGCCATTGCTGAGTAATGTACGAGTTTGGAAGAATGTATGACAATGAGCTCTCTAACAGAGTCACTCTCAGTGGAAGGCTTTTCTCAAGCTGTCCTGCTGTAATGGCTTTAACCAAGTATCAGCCATTATGGGACACATATCTTTCTACCCATAGAACTTACTCGAGTTACCTTGAGTCTTCTAATGTTTACATTTTTGTAACTTTTGCTCAACATATGATCCAGTTTTGATGTTTATAGTTTATTCTAGCAGAGTATGCTGCACAGCCTGATATGTCAGTTTTTAGACTCTTGTTTCTGTTTGTGTAAGTTGTAAGAATGACTTTTGGAGCCATATGGATCAGATTATATGTAAATAATTCAAAAGTAATCAGTAATCAGAGAAGCATCAGTAGGGTAAATGTTTGTTATTGTTTTAGTATTCCTTGCGTGTATTTATCTATTCTGTGCAGGAGATTGTCTGAACTGCTGTGTGTCTGATGATCCATCTTAAGTTGTGACATGTACAATAACAACATCGCCTATCATAGTTATGCAGATGACAACTAGATCTACCTAGCTCTATCACCGAGTCACTCTGTCAGTGTTTGGAACAAGTTAATGATTGGATGCAGTCAAACTTTCTCCAGGTAAACAAAGACAAGACTGAAGTTGTTTTCTTTGGAAATAAGGACATGATGGAGGTTATTGCTCGACTTGGTTCCCAAGGAATAGAGACAAAGACCCAGGTTAGAAATCTTGGTGTCATAATTGATTCAGACCTGAGCTTTACTAGTCACATTAAGGCTATAACTCAGCGTTTTATCATCTTCATCACGTAGCACAACTCAGGGATTTCATGTCTAGACAAGACCAAGAGAAACTCATGTATGCGTTCATCTCCAGTAGAGTGGACTATTGCAATGGTCTTTTGACTGGTCTTCTCAATAAAGCTGTGAAGCAACTGCAGCTTATTCAGAATGCTGCTGCTAGTGTCCAAAAGGGTTCACATGAAGGCAAATAGACTTCTTTGGTTTTTTGTAGACGTTTTGCTTCTCCTCCGAGGTGCTTTG